GGGGGGGGGGGGGGGGGGCACGCGGCTTTCGGTATTTATATGCGAAGATGGGGGGAAGCTCAGGAAAGAATCGGCCCAGAGATACATGTTCACACACCGAGCGCATTCCAGTTTTTATCTTTTCGTACACGACAGACGAAAGACGCCAAAAACGAGCTCGGTTTTTACGGAGGTGGGCCGGGTGCCGAGTATCGTGCTAGAAACAACGCGAGTAAATTAGTACTCTAGATGATCGCCCTGAGTACTTCATTCGAAGCCGCGAGAGTTCAGGGATTATGTGCGGTATGCGTTGTTTTGAGTCAGAGGGAATCCACCTGAAGGTTTGATTTCATCTGTCTTTTTTGTGGCTGCCGTTACCATCAACGTTTTGTCCCTACCCGTGTGAGTCCCGTATGCTTCCCTGGTGTGCGCGCGCGCGCAGCGTGTGCGTTCTTGTGAGAGACATTCGGGTAGATACCGTAAGGGTGTTGATGCTGCCATTGTTTTTTCATGTTCTTGGGATTGGCGGGGGGGTGTAAGGCAGGAAAGGTTATTCTTGCGTATAGCCTCATGTCTTGGTGCTTGATACTTAAACTTTCGGAGCCAGAGAGAATAGGGCGGTGATGGTGATGGCAAGGTTGCACGAGAGAGGGATTTGATGGATTGATTGATTGTGTCATATATCCGGAGAAACTCGCGGAAGGAAGGAAAAAAGCTCAAGAGCCGTCCGATGTGTGTTGTGCGATGGGAGCGCGATTGTATACAGGTACCGTCTACTGGTACGACTTTTGACTTGTACTTCGGACAACAGCGTCAAGGATCCGTCTGTACCCGCACCTGAGGGGGTGCGCAGTGTCTTGTCCGGGGGGGGGGGGGGGNGGGGGGGGCGTCGTGTGCGTTTCCAAGATACACGGCGGCCAGCTCTCGAGTGCTTGTAGCGGGAAGTATATTACCATGCTTGACGTGAGCAAGAAGTCTTTGCTTGGCCTGCAGCCTGCTACTACGTGGGATTGTCATTTCCTGCGACTGGGGTCTTGTCCTGAACCTGGTGTGTGTCCTTTTTTACCGTCGAACTTTTTTCGTGCGCAAGTTGGGGGAAGAGAGTGAGAAATTATCTAGCTGTGCGAATAGTATTTATAATTGTCCATTTTTGGAACACGAGGCTGCAGAAGGAGCGCTTATTTTATACGGTTCGGCATTTCGCCGCTAAGTATGCTCGCTTGCCAAATCAATTGCACGTGTCTGTGGTATGGTTGAACTTGCTAGAGTTTGGTGTATGTTGGCATGGGTTTTGCGTCTGTTTTGACGCCGCGTCCTTTTTTGGGTGGGGGTATTCAAAGGAACGAGGATCAAAGAGAGAGAAATCGAAAACAAAAACGTTTGTATGAGCCAAGGAGGGCTAAGGTCCGCAGGTATTTGCTCGGTTTATATCGTGTTGCTTCTTTTGACTCTTGCTTCCCCCCCCCCCCCCCCCCCCCCCCCCCCCCCCCCCCCCCCCCCCCCCCCCCCCCCCCCCCCCCCCCCCC